TGCTTGCTGTTCTGTTAAATTTTGCTATTTTGACTGGGGTGAGATGATATCTCATAGTTGTTTTAATTTGCATCTCTCTTAGGGCTAGGGATTCTTGGTTGACAGTTGTGTTCTTTGAGTGTTCAATATATGTCATTCCTCTGTCTTCTTGCTCCCAAGGTTTCTACTGAGAAATTGGCACTTAATATTTTTTACTCTCCTTTATAGGTACTTTTTGTAGCTTTCTGAATTCTCTCCTTATCTTTGGTTCTGGCAAATTTGACTATGATATGCCTTTATGTTTTTCTTTTGGGAGTCTGTTCTATATGGTGTTTTCTCAGCTTCTTTAATATATATATTTTCTCTCATTCTTCATTATGCCTGGGAAGTTTTCTTCTAGTAATTATTCCACAACTTTTTCAGTGCCTTTACTTACTTCTTCCTGTTCTGGGATTCCAATTATGAGCATGTTATTCCTCTTGATGATGTTATTCTTATGTTTTCTTCTTTTTCCTTCTTTTTGATTCTGCTTTTTGTTCTAACAGATCTGTGATGACAATTCTATCTCCTGTTTCACTGGTTCTGTGTTCCATCTCTTCAACTCAGTTCATGTGTCCCTCCACTATTTTGACAGCATCTGAAACCTTGATCCTCATATTTTTGGATTGTGGTTTCTTTTTTTTTAGAGCCTCTAATGCCTCATTTATCTGTGTTGTGTTGGATTGTTTGTTTGTTGTTGTTTTTAAAGCTTCTCTTAGTTTTTGCGTGCAGTGTCCTGTTATTCTTCATGTTTGTTTTTCTCCCACTGAAAATATTAAATCATTCTTCTTTTAAAGTCTGTGTCAGAAAGTTCCATCAGAGTTTCTTGCTTCAGGAAATCCATTACTACTGTGTCACTTCTTGAGGGTGATGTTTCATCTGGATTTGTGTAGGATGTAAGGTAGCTTGCTTCCTACATGACATTGTTGTGGTAGAGTTTTTCATGACAGAGGTGATAGCAGGCTTTTGGTTTGACGTCAGTGCTCCAGAGATTGGTGGGTTAGGTACCCTGTCTGAGTTTCTCTGAACTTTTGACTCAAGGGAAAGACTTGCTTCCATTTGGGAGAGAAAAGGCCTGTGAATTAGCAGCCTTCTCTGTCAGACAACTGCCACAGTGAGGGTAATCCAAGGTGCTGTGGGCTAAAGGCAGCTCATGCTTTGGGAGGGGAGAGGAAATGAAATGGGTTCACTTGTGATACTGATGTCTCTGGTGCAGTTCAGAGTGATGACAGCAGGTCATCCTCTAAGCATTGAATTGGGGCATCCAAGTTGTGGCACCAGTTCCTCCTGATGGTTGGTCCAGGACCTCCTGGTGGTGCACGCAGGATTTCAGGGGGTGGTATTCCAGGTGTGGAGGCGAGACTTTTTGGAGTCAGCACAGTACTTCTCTGTGGTGGGGCTGGGCTTCCAGGTGGTGAAGGCAGGATGCCCAGGCAGCAAGGCCAGGACTGCCAGGACAATGCCTGAGTGGGCTTCCAGACAGTTGGAAGGAATGTTCCCACAGCCGGATAAGGTCCTTAAGACATGTTCAGTGGTCCAGCGTTTGGACCTGTTGCCTCCAGCCTGAAGGGCAGGGCCCCTCTGTTCAGCAGTGCCACAGTCTAGTGTCCAGGCAAGAGACCTGTCTGGGACATATCAAGATATTTTCAAGTCAGGTAGTTACTTAGTTGACTAGATTCATGCAGGTGCTGGGTAGAGATGTCAAAAATTTTTTTCTAAAATTCTTTTATAATTATGAAAGGTCATTTGGTCGATATGGCAGGATAAGCATTTCCTTATCTTTAAAGCTGTGCTTTGCCGTCTATATAGAATGGGTTTGAGTTTGCCACTAATTCTGGTTATTTTCCCCAAAATACTATTTAGAGCTTTTTAAAGTTTAAAAACATGAGATGCATATACTTTCAGTGATTTCCATTATGTTAGTAACAAGAAGAAATATTTCAGTCATTTGAAACTACTTTCTGTCCTTCACTTAAAGTGCTTCACTTAAAACAAAACAGAACACTAATGAGAACCAGGGAAAACCTGTTGGTGTTAGTTGCCATCAAGTTGCTTCTGACTGATAGTCACCATATGTCAGGGTAACCCTCTGTACGGCCACCACCTGACAACTGTTGCCGTATTTAGGCTCATTGTTATAGTCACACTGTCAGTCTGTCTTATTGAAGTCTTTCTTTTTTTCCTTGACTCTGTATATTACTAGGAGAGGTTATTCTCTGGAAAGGGACATCATGCTTAGAAAGGTTGAAAGAAACATTATGGTAGAAAGGTTGGCAAAGAGAGGAAGAACCTCAACCAGATGGATTGACACACTAATGGCAGCAATGGCCTCAAGTATGTCAGAAATTATGCAGATGGCACATATTGGACAGAGTTCATATCTGTTATTCGTAGGGACCCTGAGAGTCATAATCAACTTGATGAAAACTAACACACTTTAACAAACATGATATCCTTCTCCAGACTGGTCTCTCCTGATTACTTACTTGTCCAATGCATATTAGGGCCATGGACATGGTGATCCAGTTTGCCATTCACCTCCTGGGCTTCCAGTGCCAGGACATTGTCATCTGTGCTTGGTCCATTGGTGACTTCATAGCAACCTGGGCAACCATGTCCTACGCAGACACCAGTGCTGTGAACCTTAATGCCTCCTTTGATGACCTAGTGCCCTTTGTCTTGAAAGTCATGGCAGACAGCTGAAGGGGCTTTGTGCTCAGGACTGTGAGGCAACACTTCCATCTAACAATGCAGTCTACACTATGCTGGTACCAGAGCCCTGTGTTGCTGATCCAGAAAACCAAGGATAAGATCATCACTACCATGGTTCCTGAAGACATTATGTTCAGCTGAGGAATTGACCTGCTGCTGAAACTCCTGCAGCACTGAAGTCCCTGAGTGATGGTTGAAGATGGCTTGCAAGTGGTGAAGCAGTGGCTACAGGCTTTCTCACAGGTGGGAGAAGCCTCTATGGGAAACTGATGGGAAGTGGAGGAAGACTGGGGTCTGTCTGTCCTCCACTCCTACCAGGCAGCACAAAATCACTAGCAATAAGAGAGATGCAAATCAAAACCCCAATGAGATATACCCCAGTAGTAGTGACAAAGTTTAAGAAGACACAAGTAATAAATGTTGGAGAGAATGTGGAGAGATAGGAACTCTTATACACTTTTGGTGGGATTGTAAAACCACTCTAGAAGACAGTTTGACATTTCCTCACAAAGCTGAAGACAAATTTTGTGAAACTCAGCTATTACACTGCTTGGAATATACCCCAAGAAAATTGGAACTGAGACACAGAGATTTGTATACCAGTGTTCATAACAGTGTTATTCACCATTGCAAGAATATGGAAACAGCCCAAATGTCCAACCCCAATCAAATGGATTGAGAAATTGTGTGTATTTACATGATGTAATACTATGCAGCATGCAGAAGCAATGGTTTTTTAAGTTACTACATAACTTGGGAGGGACTGGAGAGCATTATGTTGAGTGAGTTAATGCAGTCCCATAAGGACAAATACTATATAGGATCATTATTGTAGAAATAGAAAGATAACTAGTAAAATGAGTATTAAGATCTAAGGGAGGAAGTATAATAGAGAGGTGAGGATGGACAAGGGGATAATCATAGGGTCCCACAATTTTATGGGTAGAGGGGAGGGGTAGGTAAAGGAAATGGGAAAGATCTGATGTGGGGAAAAAAAACCCAACAAAAACAATGTATACTAACTTTGTAAGTAAACCAGTATATAATAAAAGTTATTCTAAAAAAAAAAGACACTCATTCTCCTTATTCTCCCTTCACAGTGCTGTTTGTGAGTGAGAGTGGGAGGCCCACCCCCTTCTCATTGTTCTTTCACATTCTTCTCTCCCACCCCAGCACCCACCATGCATTAAAATAATGGATTATTCCTAATGATTAATAAAAATACATTTTCCCCCCTTAAAAAAAACCCAAACAAAAAACCAAAGTATGTTATGCACAGCTTCTAAGGAACATTCTGACTACACCTTCTTCCAAGACAAATCTATTCGTATTTCTGCCAGTCAATTGTGTATCAAATATTCATCACAATACAATAATTCAAATGTATTGGGTTTTCAACCTTCCTTATTCATTGTCCATCTTTCACGTATATATGAAGTGCTTTAAAATACTAGGACAATACTTTTATCATCCAGAAAGTGACATTTGACTTTTGAACACTTTAAAGGGACCATTTGCAGTAGTTTCCCCAGTACTATATGTGGCTTGATTTCTTGACTGCTGCCTCCAGGAGAGACTTCACACACATCGCTATTTAGTTGAAACCTACTCAAAACTGACCTCCAGACAGGTTTTCAGGGACTGTTAATCAAACAGGAGGAAATTGCCTGTCTCCTTCATGAAAAGCAGCTGTTAGATTAGAACCACCTGCCTTTGTGTTGACAGTTCAACTAGCTTCCTGGGAGAGACCCAGGTACTAAGAACTGAGACTCAAACTCATCGCTGTGACACCCAGCTGACCCTCCAGCACGGCTCTAAGGCTATAAATCACACTTAAGGAGATTGCCTTCTTTCTCTCTCTGAGTGATGGATTCTAACTTCGAGCGAAGTACAGCCTTTGGGTCAGTAGCTCAGCTCCCCATGGACTACGTTAATAAATAGTATTACGACTTTTTAGAAATGTAAAAATAGGGAAAATTAGTGATACAATGCAATATATTCATTTCTAAAATTCAGTTATTGTTTTATTTAGCAAAAATGCCTCCCACACAAGCAGAAAGTGTTATAAAGAATATCATTCGAGAAATAGAACAAGAATGTGCATCACAGGGAGAAGTGGTTTCAGAAACTTTGGTTGCATTCATGGTAAGAGAATTACTCTTTTTTCCAAAATTTTAAATAGAATTTTGTAAAGTTTTATTAGTTGTTATTCAGTTTAAAACATATTAAGATTATGGAGTAAGGTAGTGAAGGATGTCTTTTTAAAGTCTATAAAGCATGTCCATTCTACATTTATAGAGACTGATTTAGATCTTGATGGGGTTTAAAGACATTCATATTCTGTTTCAGAACAGAACAGAAAAGTTTTAACATGTATTTTGGCTTGCTATTTTAAATATTATTTGTTGGCATGTTCTCTGTTCATGCTTTTGGTTAACAATACACAATAAGTACACAATAAGCTGTACAAATAATTCTTCAATCAAAAATCGACCATTGCTTTCAACCTACTATTTCATGTAATTTTTCTAACAATGTTTTCAATTTTTGTGTTCATTGCTTCCCTGCCCCCCAACCTCTGACAGAGGTTCTGATGAGTTGAACAATATGAAAAATAGCTGAATAGTCCCCCCCCCCGAGTAAGCAGCAACTATTTAAAAATGGCAACATATTAAATAAATTTCATAACAATATGACATAATAAAATTATTTAATAAATTCCTTTTTACTACTTTCAGGTGAAGGCTGTTGTTCTGGATCCAAGTAATGGCTTTAATATGGATAGAACCCTTATAAAAAGTGATGTGCAGAAACTTGTTAAGGTGATTATCCAACAGTGCTTTAGTTTGGAATTAATTATTCTCAAATCAAAATACATGCTTTATATTAGTTGTGATTGTAAGAATGGTCATGTTGGGCAGACTCATTGGAAAGTCTCAGAGGAGGGACAAAGAGTATTTTTATCTCATGGTAAAAAAGAATTTTCCTTTTCTTTTCTCTCCAAATAAGCTGAGAAAATTCAAGCTCATAAGTATATAAACTAGTAAAATACATCATAATTCAAGTAATAAAAATGTGTGTTCTTTTATGCCAATTACAAATCATGTTGATGCCTTTTGTTTGTAAAGTCTGATCTTAGAACAGTACTTATGCTTGGACAGTCCAGGGGCAGAGGCCAACACAACCTTCTACTCCCAGTCCCACTTTCCCATGTGTTAGGAAGTCAGGGCCCTGCTGGAGGAGGTGGGTGTATGAGTCCCAGCTCCCCTTCCCCACATGTCATGTCAGGAAGTCAAGGCCCTGATGGAGAAGGTGGGCAGACAAGTGATGTTACTAATGTGGCTGCCAGCTGCAGTATATGAACCCTAATGGGTAAGATGGCAAAGAAAATAGACAGCAATTCAGGTTGACCACCTGAATAAAAGGACAAGGAGAGCAAAGAAGTTAAGTGAGCCATCTATGTTATGAGACAGATAGGTGGAGAGAGAGAGAGAAAGAGGAAACAGACCACGAGAAGAGCTTTGGAACCATTGTATGCCAGAAGTGAAGAAGGAAGGCCCTGTCCCTACCTAAACGGAAGCCAAAGCAAAGGCATTAAAGGCCAAGGAGGCAGTCCTGAAGGGCACCTACAGCCACACAAAAAGAGGAGACCCACACGTCACCCACCTTCTGGCAGCCTAAGTACACTAAAACTCCAAAGGCAGCCAAAATACTCCCTGAAGAGCACCCCAGGAGAAACAAGCTTGATCACTATGCCATCATCAATTTTCCCCTGACCACTGAGTCAGCCATGAAGAAGATAAGAGATAACATGCTTGAGTTCATTGTGGATGTCAAAGCTAACAAGCACCAAATAAATAAGCTGTAAATAAGCTCTGTGACTCAAAACAGCTATGAGATATCATCTCTCCCCGGTAACAATAGCAAAGTTCAACAGAGCAGCAAAAAACAAATGTTGGAGAGGTTGTGGAGAAATTGGAACCCTTATTCTCTGTTAATGGGAGTGTAAAATAATGCAGCCACTCTGGAAGGCAGTATGATGTTTTCTCAAAAAGTTGGAAATAGAAATACCATTTGACACAGCAATTCCACTACTAGGAATATACCCTAAAGAAATCAGAACTGCCACCCAAACAGATATATGCACACCATGTTTATTGCTGTGTTGTTCACAATAGCAAAGAGATGGAAGCAACCCAATTGTCCATCAACAAAATGAATGTACAGAGAAGCTGTGATATATTCACACAATGGATTATTATGCAGCACTGGATAAACAAGGAACTCGTAAATTATTATATAAAATGGATGACCATGGAGGACATTATGCTGAGTGAAATGTGTCAGTCACAAAAAGACAAGTACTCCATAATGCCATTGTTATAAAACAGAGCTGATGTGGGATTTGGAAGGAAACTAAGAAAAGAGAAGATAAATAATGTACACTGCATTGGAAAAAAATGAGGGAAAGAACTGTCTAAAAGAAATCTATGATTAGCTATTACTTGCAGGACAACAGTCCAGAATAGGAAGTGCATAGCAAAGTGGACTGAGAGGTGGGGGGAGGGAGGAAATTGTGCACCAATGAAAGAATCTTTTAAAAGAGAAAAGCGAACTGGGGATGGGTGGTAGGGAGGGAAATGTGCAACAATGAATGAATGGAAATCCATGTTTTCTGTAAACTTTCATTAAAATATCAATTTTTAAAGGAAACCTCTATGACATTGATGTGGCTAAGGTCAACACGTTGATTAGAACTGATGGAGAGAAGGCCTGTGCTCAACTTGCTCCTGACTCTGATGCTTTGGAGGTTGCCAGCAAAATTGAGATAATCTAAACAGAGTCCAGCGGGCTAATTCTAAAAATTTTATGATTTTGGTAGGATTGTTACAGCAGCTTTTTTAAAAAGTAGGTGACTTCTGCCATCTGCAAGGAAATAGTGCTGTTCAGGTGTCAAATAAAATAGCAATGAAGAATTCTGGAAGACTTCTAGGTAGCATTACAATCTGTGGAGCATTTGACCACATTTAGACTGCACAAACTACAAAGTATATTTCCTGCCTTCAATTTAACTTCATCTCTTGGGCATGATGGTATTAGTTAACCTGGGAGAAATAACTCTTCGTTTAATATGTAAATAAATATTGTTGGTTGAGGAAACTATAAAGTTCTCAGTAAGAAATAAGAATAAAGGAGCTGCTGGTGGATATCACAACCACTGTTTTGATGTGTCCTTTTACTTTAGAAAATAACTGGCAAATCCTTCTGAGTATTTCAGGAAATGTAAGTAGACACATTCATGGACTCTTCTTTTCTAGCTATGTGTGACTCGACTATTGGATTGTAAAAATCCATCCCTGGACACCATTAAGATGCAGGTCTACTTTGATATGAATTATACAAGTCGAGGTAACACGTATCTACCCATTGATGATTTTTTAAAAAGATTTTATGTTGCATATTTTTAATAACAGTTTTGCGAGGCAGTATTTTTAAATATTTTCTAACTTTGAAAAATATAATAATGTTTGATATACTAAATGAGAAAACCACCAATATCCATTAGGTCTTTTGTTCATAGAGTCACTATGAGTCGTACTCGACTCGATGGCAATCAACAACAACAATAACATAATATAAACATAATTTTTATATGCACTGGAAAACAAAAAAATCCACCTGACTTGCTTTATTATGATGTTTGCTTTATTGTGGCTGTCTAGACCTGAACCCATAACATTGCTGAGGTGTGCCTGTGCACATATTTGTGGAAGAATAGATACATTGCATATATTTGTTGTTGTTGTTGTTTACCACTGAGTCAGAAGTGACCCATAGCTGACCCTCCAGTGGGTTTTCAGAAGCAGTGAATTACATGGGAGTAGATTGTCCATCCTTCTCCAGCAGAGTATCTGGTGGATTTGAAACACTTATCTTTGGAATTGCAGCTCAACTTCTTACCAGTAGGCCACATATCCTATATGTTCTTATATTTAGTGTGCGTATACATCTACACTATGTATATTCACATATAAATCTATGTCTACACTACACATACACATATATATTCTACTCGGTTGGGAAGTTTCAGCTCTCTGATAGTTTACTGTTTAGATTGTCTATTTAAAGTATCCTATGTTTTGAAAAAATAAATCCTTTCAATTACTGTACATCTTTTCCATTGACTTATGTATGTATGTATGTATATATTTATTTATTTAAATACTGGTTTACTTACAAAATTTGTATACATTGTTTTACACATCAGATCTTTCCCCTTTCCTTTACCCATTTTTAAAGGTTACTTGTTGATTAATCTTAATTTTTATTTTGGATATTACATCTTGGAAAAATATTTCTTTTCATGCAGTAATACAGCTTTTCTCTGAACAACTTTTGCTTTGGTCCTACTTTCTTAAATGAGCAGGATTCTAAGTATCCATTATGTGCAACACTAACCTTTCCCAACTTTAGAGGAATTTCTTGAAGAACATCATCGAGTTCTAGAGTCCAGATTAGGCCCTATTAGCAGAGAAATTACAGACAACAGATCATATGCTAGGGAAGAATTGGAAAGCCTCTATCGGAAGATTGTCAGCTATATTTTACTACGGTCTGGACT